CACTTCCTCTGCGTTTTTGTTCTGTTGAGGCCCTCAGTGGATTGGATGATACTGTCCACATTGGGGAGGGAAATCTGATTTTCTCAGTCTACCAATTCAAATGCTAATCTCATCCAGAAACATCCCCAAAGACATATCCAGAAATAACGTTTAGTCAAATATCTGGGCACCCCATGACACAGTCAATTTGCCATCACAAAGAATTTTATTATTCTGGGGATCTTACTCCTAAGACCTTTTAAGAAGTTACAAAGATGAGGACTAGTGATGATGCTGCTAATAGGAAGTCACTTAAATTGTTATAGATGAGGCCAGAGGTCAACAAATTTTTCTGTAAAGGGCCAGACAGTAATATTTTAGGCTCTACATGTCATAAATTCTCTATCACAACTACTCAACTCTGACTTTGTAGCACAAAAGCAGCCACAGACAGTACATAAAATAGTATGGCTGTGTCCTTATAAACCTTTATTATGGACACTGAAATTCATATAATTTACACATATCACAAAACATTTTTTAAAATTTATTTTTCAACCATTTTAAAACTGTAAAAACCATCCTTGGCTCATGGACTTAACAAACACAGGTTGCAATCTGCTAGCCCTTGGTCTGGGCTGGTGATTCTTAAACTGGTCTTTGATACCTTGGTAATGGCAAGGTAACTCCTGATGGTATCTGATTCAAAATTATGAGTTATTTCTTTGGTTCTTATAGACATAGGCTAGATAAATGCCATGTAATACCATAGATTTTATTGTTATGTACATATGTATTTATTATTAAAAGGATACTTACTAGTAACCTACTAAATGATGTATTAAGCATTACTTAAATTTGGTTATAGAAACTAAAATTAATCCAATACTAGAATTTTTCCCTACCTCCTCATCTTTTTAGCTTTCATAAGATTACATGTTATATCCCCTAAATTATCTCATAGGCATTATATACCATCATAACAATAACATTGTATTTTTATTCTATATTGTTTATCATAATTGTAATTAATTTGTTTAAAGTCTGTCACTCCCACTATACTATAAATAAGTTATGTAAGATTAGGGATCATGCATATTTTTTTCACCACTATGTACTCAGCCCATAGCATATCTGGAATATTGTAGATGTTCAGTATATTTTGTATGCTGAATGAATGAATGAATTGCTTCTGGTCATTAATTGCTTCAATTCTTGTTTTTTTAATTATAAAGAACTTTTCATTTAGCTTCAACATTATCAATCCAGTTTGTTGATAGTTGTTGATTACTACTTGTAATGATGTTATGTTTGTACCAAAGTATTGTGGGTTTATAATTTTGCATTGACATGTCTTCAAAACAAGCACAAAATGCAGTTCTAAGTTGAGTCATTCACACTTCTACTGTTAAAACTGTTGTATGAAATTCACTTCTGAGGTGGAAGATAAAGGTGGGAGGCTAACAGGGTCACTTTGTTATTACCTCCAAGTTCTTATTCCACTGGAAAATGGTTAACAGCTTTGAGAGCCATTATATTTGCAAGAGATGTGATTTGTGGATGATAGGGACATATCTCTTTCAGTTGACACCCTTTGGTTCAGGGATAACGGTCTTTTAATTTCTAGAAATTCTTGCTTTTCTACCAAAAAGGCTAGACTTTCAGAACATTTCAGCTAAGACTCCTCTCAGCCCCAGTTGGGGTGATGAAATTTGTACTAGATGTTTCTAAGGCAGAGGCAAGAAGGAAGGAGTCCTCCCAACTCAGTATAATTCTTCCAACTCATCAGCCCTCTGTGTGTTTGTTTTCACAAGCATGCAAGTACAAAATGGAGCTCCAAGGCTGACGATGCGGCGCTCTACTTCTTAAAACCCAAGCCTAATGTGGGACAAAAAAAGACTCTTAGAAAACGTCAGGACCATTGATCTGTACTCAGCAACTTCAGATATAGTTTGAGTCTAATTAACCTCACCATTTCTAGCACTTAATCAAGAAAGATCCAATTCCAACAACTTATTTTAAATTATTTCACTAAGACCAACATTAAGGTAATTTCAGTAAAAACAAAATTTAAACAAAACAAGGAAAAGGAATGTTAATTACTTCAGGGAAATGTGTAAACTCCATTGAATGTTCAATGGGTATTCGTTCTAATTGCTCTTTAGTGAGTATTTATTGTACACATTCTCAAGCTGCTCATTAGAACTGCTGAATCAAAGATAAGAGAAAAACTGCAAAACTACCAATAAATTTACCAGATATTGAGAATCCTATACATCCTTTATGTCTTTAATTCCTTTGGCAACCTCTGCATAAAGTTATCAATCTAAAGACCCAGTTCTGCCAAACCTCACCCTAGTACTCTGATAGGTACTCAGAATTTAACCTGCAAATTTACACAGATTGACCCAGTTTGCAAAGTTGAGAAAAGTGGCTAAATTGTTCCTGACACTATAACAAGTCCTTGAAAAGAGATAATCTTGTCAGGCTGTGATGTCTAGTCATCTCAAAAAAAAACTTAAGGACAGGAAGCTTTTTTAATGTTATTAAGAATAGAAGTGTTTGTAAAGGAGAGAGCTGCTTGGATTTAAACTGTCATTTTTTTTTTTTTTTTTTTTTAGAAAGAACATTCTAGTACTGGCAAAAAAAAGTCTATTTGGCCTAACTTCCACCTTTGGAACTTATACAAGTTCCCATCTCAGAGAGCGCCCCTCATCCTCTCCACCCAGCCAGATCCTACTTGTTCCAATTCCAGCTGATGCCCTCCCCCTTACTACTTCTGAGTCAGCTTCAAAATGAATCAATTCCTTTGTTCTCTAACACATCATTGTCTCTGCTACTCACTGTATCTATTATTTCTTGGTTGCTTTGCTTTGATTTAACTGTTCCTCTTTTCCATACTCAGGAGGGTTAGCAGAGAGGAGGCCTAGGAGGGGCGTGTCACGAGGAGATATTCATAGGGTGCAGTGAGTGCACCAACACAGACTGGGGGAGTCAGAAAAGACTGCCAGAGGGGATACCCCAAGGCAACATTCTTTTGTTCCTAGGCCTCTGCTGAACCCAATGACCCAGGAAAGGCTTCTTTCTGCCTATATTTACCTTTTGGAAAGCACATCCACCGTACACCTGGTTCTTTAGTTCTACGTCACTGCTAAGACTCCTTTCTTTCTTTTAAAGGCAGAAAGACCTGAAGTAGAAACAAGCCTGCTACAGGTTTAATGAGTATTCTGCTGTATTTTTATTTTTCTCTTATACCCCTATATCATGTATGTTATGTTGCCAGTGCCTGTGGATTGGTTTCAGGTCACTGGTTGGCAAACCTGCACTTCAGTTCCAGAGCAGTATTTCAATTGCAGACTTCACTGTCTGTTGAGCAAGTATGTTATTTGTGTCAAAACAGAAGATAAATAAATATCTTCAGCAGGTCTTCCGCTCAGGGATTTCTGTGTTCTGCAAGCAAATGGTAGTATTATATCCCCTTTATGAGTAAATGGCTGAGGATAGAGAAATTGTATGAATCTAAAGATCATACAAATGAACTTCTAGGTTTTTTTCTAAACTAGAAAAGGGGCTATTTCCTTCAAATAGATATTTGTACACCATGTTCATAAGAGCACTATTTACAGAAGTCAAAAGATGTATGCAACCTAAGCATCTATCAAACAAAACATGGCATATACATACAACTGAATATTAATCAGCCTTTAAAAAAAATAAATTCTGACATATGCTACAACATGGATGAACCTTGAAGATACTATGTTAAGTGAAGTAAGCCAGTCACAAAAGGACAAATACTGTATGATTCCACTTACATGAGGTACATGGAGTAGTCAAATTCAGAGACAGAATGTAGAATAGTGATGCCAGAAGCTGGGGGTAGGGAGGAATAGGGAGTGAGTATTTAAAGTGAACAGTTTCAGTTGGAGAAGATGAAAATGTTCTGGAGATGGAGGGTGATGATGATTGCCCAAAATGTGAATGTCTGTAATGCCACAGAACTATACCTTTAAAAATGGTTAAATTGGTACATTTTATGTTATGCATATTTTACCACAATAAAAGGTGGGTGGGATTTCTCAATCTCAATAATACTTCTCTCTTCCTTGAAAGTAACAAAAAGATGAAAGACTAAATATGGGAACCTGCCCATCTCTGCACTTCACTAATAACCCAGCCTAGCTGTTCTACTGATGAGTTCTACAAATAAAACTGACCCTTGACTGTTTTCTATTTAAGGTGATAAAAAAATAAAAAGCTATCTAGAAGGCAAACGTATTTTAAAGTTTTCTTTATATCACTGTAAGTTTCACACACCAGGTACATTTTTCCTCACTCTGCCCCTAAATATTTTGATATCTGCAATTCCATGTATATGGACATAAAAATAATAGTCCTTAATAGAAAATAGGAATTACTATGCACACATAACTTAGGAAAGGGAGCACATTTTCTTAAATTCACTAAGTTCATTTTGCTCACAGTATAATCTTACCATCACAACTAGAGAACCTGCTAAATATTTATCCTAGACCTAATGAATCAGAATCTTTAGGACTGGTGACATGTCACCTGCACTTTAAATTAGCTCTTCTAAGTTACACTAGTTATGCACACTATGTTTGAGAACCAGCAAACTAAAACAGAAGCAAATGATACTAATATCAGGAGTATCTCTCCTTAGACCAGGAAAAGATGATCAGATGGGAATCATATTGAAGGACAACTGAGACTGGGTAGGTACACCGAAATCAAAATTATAACATGGTTGTCAAGCTGAGCACTGTACTTGCTGATCTTTTAAGATAGATAGCATCAGAATAATGTCACAGATTTAAATAACAAAACAACAAAAAAGCAAAGGCTTTTATGAGGAGATACACTGAAGGGAACAGTCTGTCTATATAAAGTAGAACTTGAAGGAAAAATACAGTGTCATGTGCCATTGGCAGGGAGAGCAACAGAGCACAGACCCTTGACACTTTCATCCACCAGCCTGCCCAAACTCAGATACAACTTTGTATTACATAGTGTTTATATTTTATTTGAATTGCCTAAGTAACTTCTACACGGGACCATCCAAAGATCTTCATGCTTTGATTCCTTGCAATTTTCTTTCTCATGTCTTCAAGAATTGTGGAGTCTTCCTGTGGTCAAAAAATATCATACAGAAATTGTCAAAGCAATTAAAAGAATGTATAAAATAACTTTTGTCTCTCTAGGGACCACTATTCAATAAAAAAAAAAAAAGAAGGGGAGGAAAAAGGGCTTAAAATCCAAAACAACAAAATATTAAATAGTTAAAAAATTATCAAAGATACAAAAGCCATAGTGTTTACACAGCCTTTTTCACAGTCCAAATATGCACCCTAAAAGGGGATTTCAGAACACTGTGACTGTAGTATATTTCATACTCAATGTGGCTTGAGTGATAAAGCTCATTTTTCTTTTCAATTCTTCTAATGTCTAAACTGTGCTTTCATTCTGTCTTTTCTGGCTGTATGTCTACATTTAACTTGACTACATTTAACATTACCACCAAATAAAAAATGCTACCTCTGACTGTGACTCCATAAAACAGGATTTTTTTTATTCATGAGATAAAATGATGTCAGCCATTTAAAAAAATACTGTGAATAAAGCATTTTGGAGTAATTATCTTGAAATGGCCATCATCACTTCCCATCCCCCTTGGTCTTTCGCATCAATGCCATTCTCCCAGGTACTATGAGTTCAGAAAGCAGCAGTTCTCTGAGCAGCATGTGAGGACTTCCATCTGTGGCACCAGAGAGAAGGAACAGATATAAGGGACATTAGGAAGAGCCTTTAGGTCTTCCTGACTGAATGGATAGGAGAGGCTAAGGAAAGAGGAAAGAGTACAACTTAAAGGTTTAATGCTGGGTGAAAAAGAGAATTATGATATCCCAGCAGAAACAGAAAAGAGAGGAAGTTTTGAGAGTAAAGTGATACATTTCACTTTATATATGGAATTCTCAAACCTGTAACAGGAAGTCTTAACAAATAGCTGCAGAAACAATACTTCAGCTAAAGAGAGGGGCCAGGTCCGGAGATGGCAATTTGATCACTTTCATTCATGCAATGGTTATGGCATTATAATGGATGAAATATTTCAATGGGGAAAAGTAAAGAAAGACAAGCAGAGCATATGGCTAGACCTTCAAGGTATGATGAAGAGAAGCCATTGAAAGGGACAGGCAACAGTAATCAGAAATCAGGTAAGAAAAGTAGTGGCTTAGAGTTATAGAGGTCAAGGGAGGAAGATAATCAAGAAAGTGGGGATTTCAGTTGCATGAAGCACAGGAAAAAGACCAAAGAAAAAAATAGATTTAGAAATTCAGAGGCTGTGAATATTTTTCAACAGAGCCAGATTTTAGGGTAATGGTGAAGGGGGTAAGATAGGTGATGACCAGGACTAGCTAATAGAAATATGCTGGGCATCACATATGCACTTGAAAGCTTTCTAATAGCTGTATTTAAAAAGTAAAAAGAAATATGTGAAATTAGTTTTAATTATATATTTTGTTTAACTCAAAATTTCAATGTGAAATTAAAATAAAAATAATTGAGAATTTTACATTCTTTCTGTCTTTTGTCATCTTCAAAATTTACTGTGTATTTCACACTTGCAGCACACATCTCAATTTGGTTGCTACATTTCAAAAGCTTGATAGCCGCACATGAATAGTGGCTTCCTTATTGGACAACGCAGAGTCGGAGAATGTAAATATGTCCCACACAACATGATGAAGACAGAAATGGGTCATAGAAGCCTGCAACCAATGTTGGAAGAGGGAATAAGGTAATCTAAGTGGATTGCCTGAACCTCAGATGAGAAGTGGAATGACAGTGGCAGATAAAGTCCTCACAAATAACATTAAGAAACAAGGGGCAGACCTCTGTTGACAGTTCAATGCCCTAGAGGAGAATAAGAAATGAAGATGAGGCCACTAAATAAAAGTTAAGGGGAAGATAGTCCTCTCTAGAGAAAGTCGTGTCTGAGTTATGTTGAAGAAAATATTTGATTATGAGTAACAGTAGTGTGGAAAAAATGAAGACCAGCCAAATTAAAACAAGCGAAAACTACTGAGAACTTGCTTAAGGAAAGGAGTTAGTTACTGTTACTTGCATTTTGGCAGACTCAAAAGCAAGCACAGGAGTGGGAAAGTTTATAGTGGACAAAAGGAAAGGCTTCAGGTGTGCCTTGAAAGAGGCTATTGGTATGACGAGGCTAGATGCTAGTTGACTAGAGGTGGGGCATCCTACATGATTCACTAGAGATATATATTTGGCTTTTTCTGGCTGGTCCTAAATTGGAAGCAGAAAATCTTGAAAGCTGTTAGTTATTAATCAAGTCCTGCCCATTTGGAGCAGATTATAACAGGTATTATTGTTTGGTTTCCTCGGCTGTTACTAGAAACAGTAGTCAGACTTCCTACAAGTCTGATGTACAGCAAACTGGCTCACTAGGGTACTTATTGCAGATGATGGTTTGGTTTCCTAGGCAGGTTGCTGCAAATTGTGGATCAGAGTTCTATTCATATACAGTCTGGCCATTATCTGTGTATTCAGTCTCTCAGTATCCTTATTTGTTTTACATTCATTGGAACTCTGTCTATTTGAATTTAGAATAGCTCAGGAAAGTCACATGTTGGAAGTCAAAAGACCTGGGTCATAATCTCCATTCTTACATTAATTAATAGTGTGAACCCATCACTGAACTTCTTGTACCTCAAATTTTCTCATCCAAAAATGAATAGAAATCAAAAATTTTCAGCAGCAGAAATTACAAAAGGAAGACAGAAAGACACAAACCACAAAGCAGAGAAAATTAGTAACACTTCAATATAAATTAAATTTAACTGAATATGAAATTCTGGATATAAAAATGTTAAAACTCACAAATAACATTAAGAAACAAGGGGCAGACCTCTGTTGACAGTTCAATGCCCTAGAGGAGAATAAGAAATGAAGATGAGGCCACTAAATAAAAGTTAAGGGGAAGATAGTCCTCTCTAGAGAAAGTCGTGTCTGAGTTATGTTGAAGGAAATATTTGATTATGAGTAACAGTAGTGTGGAAAAAATGAAGACCAGCCAAATTAAAACAAGCGAAAACTACTGAGAACTTGCTTAAGGAAAGGAGTTAGTTACTGTTACTTGCATTTTGGCAGACTCAAAAGCAAGCACAGGAGTGGGAAAGTTTATAGTGGACAAAAGGAAAGGCTTCAGGTGTGCCTTGAAAGAGGCTATTGGTATGACGAGGCTAGATGCTAGTTGACTAGAGGTGGGGCATCCTACATGATTCACTAGAGATATATATTTGGCTTTTTCTGGCTGGTCCTAAATTGGAAGCAGAAAATCTTGAAAGCTGTTAGTTATTAATCAAGTCCTGCCCATTTGGAGCAGATTATAACAGGTATTATTGTTTGGTTTCCTCGGCTGTTACTAGAAACAGTAGTCAGACTTCCTACAAGTCTGATGTACAGCAAACTGGCTCACTAGGGTACTTATTGCAGATGATGGTTTGGTTTCCTAGGCAGGTTGCTGCAAATTGTGGATCAGAGTTCTATTCATATACAGTCTGGCCATTATCTGTGTATTCAGTCTCTCAGTATCCTTATTTGTTTTACATTCATTGGAACTCTGTCTATTTGAATTTAGAATAGCTCAGGAAAGTCACATGTTGGAAGTCAAAAGACCTGGGTCATAATCTCCATTCTTACATTAATTAATAGTGTGAACCCATCACTGAACTTCTTGTACCTCAAATTTTCTCATCCAAAAATGAATAGAAATCAAAAATTTTCAGCAGCAGAAATTACAAAAGGAAGACAGAAAGACACAAACCACAAAGCAGAGAAAATTAGTAACACTTCAATATAAATTAAATTTAACTGAATATGAAATTCTGGATATAAAAATGTTAAAACAGACTAAATGAACGAGTAACAGAAAGATGTGAAGTCACAGTTAAGGCATATGACATGGCATATGCAAAAGACCATAAATATATAAGCATTTTTAATATTTATGCACCAAATTTCATAACAACCACTTTATAAAGCAGAAACTACAAAAGATGCAAGGAGAAATAACCAACCCAAAATAATACACAATGTTAGTAAAGACAGGTAAAGTGGTAAAAAAATAAAGATATAGAGGCTGTAAAAACATAACCAATAAAATAAATTATATGAATATATATCAGACTTTTTCCCCCTAAAATAGAAAATATGGTTAAACCTTGAACAACACAGGTTTCAAGTGCAAGGGTCCACTCACATTATATATTTTCTATATATAATGCCATGTCATCCAGAAATAACAGTTTGACTTTTTCCTTACCAATTTGAATGTTTTTCAATAAATACATTAGAAAAATTTTTGGACATTTATACCAATTTTTTATATAATTTTTAAATTGAAGTATAGTTGATATACAATCTCATATTAGTTTCAGGTATACAACATACTGGTTCAACAACTACTCTCAGTTGTATGAGTTCTTAATATATTTTGGATTTTAACCCCTTATCATATGAGTCATTTATGAATATATTCTCCTATATTGTAAGATGCCTTTTTCTTCTGTTGACGGTGTCCTTTGTTGTACAGAAGCTTTTTAGTTTGATGTAGTACCACTTGCTCAGTGTTCATTTTGTTTTCTTTGCCCAGGGAGATGTGTCCAGGAAAAAATCGCTCATACTTATGTTCAAGAGATTTTTGCCTATGTTTTCTTCTAAGAGTTTTATGGTATCATGACTTATATTCATGTCTTTGATCCATTTCAAGTTTACTTTTGTATATCGAGTTAGATAGTAATCCAGTTTCATTCTCTTTCGTGTAGCTGCCCAGTTTTTCCAACACCCATTATGGAAGAGACTTTTTCCCATTTTATTTTCATGACTCCTTTATCATATATTAATTGACCACATATGTGTGAGTTTATATCTAGAGTTCTGTTCAACTTATCTGTGGGTCTGTTTTTTTGGCCACTGCCATACTGTTTTGATTACTGCAGCTTTGTAGTATAAACTTAAAGTCAGAAGCATTAACACCCCCACAACTTTCTTCTTTCTCAGGATAGCTTTGGCTCTTCAGGGTGTTTTGTGGTTCCATATGAATTCT